AGAAAGAATGAATGAGGTTTGTCTTGCTACTTAACGGAACTCTTAACAGTTCTTATAGTCCAGGTAACTAACTAATAAATAAAATATAGAACAATGAGACTGATACTTTACGGGTCAATAAATGATATTTGTCGTTGATGTGTCGCATCAGCTAATGCACAAATCTGACATAAACCTGACATATCAATTTTATAGAAGGGGTTTTGTGGAGATTTAGTATTTATTATAGTTGAAAGCGTGAGTCAATTGAAGCTAGACAACCATGGAAAACCTGGAAGCACTGGACGGCCGTTTCGTCTTATTATGGGACTCCTCAGCAGTGCGCATCCACGAACGCGCTCTCGCGAGATTCGAACCCAGGATCTACCAGTTTCGAGGCGAAGCCCTTAACCGATAGACCACTGAGCTGGCATCCAACGGTGTTAATGTCCTGGGTTCGAATCTCGCGAGAGCGGGTTCGTGGATGCGCACTGCTGAGGAGTCCCATAATAGGACGAAACGGCCATCCAGTGTTTCCAGGTTTTCCATGGTGGTCTAGCTTCAATTGACTCACGCTTTCAACTATAATATCAATTTTTATTTACAAATAACCAAAAACTGCTCAATTTTACATTTTCATTTATTCAACTAGATCATCATTATATTCTCAGAGATAATCAATAACTGTAGTTAGATCTCGTTTAGATGATTCTGTTAACTTTTTTTCAGTGATGAAATAGATTGTCTATTTCTCATAAACGTCAACTTGATTAATCTGTGGTATTGTGGCGTGGTCTACTTATATCCATATAAGTAGTATATGATGATGATCAGACATAGAATGTATTTTGGCAAAAGATGGATAAGGAACGAACACGAATGAAGCGCAGTCGGTACCGAAGTGCATGAACAACGAAATCAGAGAAGACGGACTGATATTTGATTGAGACAATTTATTGTTATTTTGCAAATTAACTGTTCATTGTATGGTTATCAGAATTTACTGAGATAGTCTGTAATTTGTAATTCGATTGTCCCTACTCATGTTCTGTTCATTACAGTATCAAAATAAAACCTAGGAAGTTGAATTTTATGAATTATTTTATTTGGATAAAATATTATAATGCTTAGTTACGTCAGGTTCTAACTGTTTGGCTAACAATTCTATTCACAGAATACTATGAAAATAACCACTGCATTATGACCATTCTATTAGTTTATGTCAAGCGGCAGTATATATTCTGCTGACTGGTATAGATATGTTAATAATAATATATGTGTAAAATATCATTTTCATATATTACCCTCAAATTCTTTACAGATATTTCGATGATTTCATACATACTCCATGTTGACTTTTATATAATATACCTGTTAGTTGGAAAACTATTTTAACGAAAGCATCCCAAACTGTTTAAACATCTGCTTGGCACAAAATTGCTTATAACTTACTTCACCAACAACAAAATAGTTTACTTAACAGTAAAATTAGGATAAATATAAGATTAGTTTATTTTCTATTTACTTAACCTGTAACCACAACCGTTATGTGAATACGTAAGTAATTCATATTTAGTAAAACGGGAGATATTTGGATGGGAAACATTTTTGAGCATTTCTATTAATGAATAAATTTATTCACAACCTTGTTATACACATTTCGATTATTTGATAGCTAAGTTCATCAGTCAACTAAACTTAGACCACCATGGAAAATCTGGAAGCACTGGATGGTCGTTTCGTTCTAGTGTGGGAACGCTCAGTAGTGCGCACCCACGACCTCGCACGCGGGATTCTAACCGAGGGACTTCGGTCCCACGCTCGAGCACTTAATCTCTAGAACACTGAGCCGGTAGGCATCCAACCGTGTTAATGTCTAACTTCAACCAATCCACATTTTCATTAGTGTTCTCTCTTTCGATATATAACTTATTATCATCTTCATCTACACTGCCGCCTCAGAAATATGTCTCAGTTAGAAATAAATGTTAATGGTATATTAAAACTGTACAACAATCGAACCAGTTATTCATTGCAGGAATTTAAACAAGTGCATATTTATTTGTGGTGATTTCTAAATTACGTTTTGCAAATTACCATTAGAAAATAATTAGAACAAGCGAACAATAGAAAAGAACAATAGAAAAGAAAGAGATAAGAATGATCTAATTTTTTGTTTAAATTTACTATATTAATAATTGATAATGATTGAAAATCATGTAATTGGTTGCATATGGTCATCAGTAGATTGTGAGTGTGTATAAAATCAGGACAGGTGTTATCATTTAAACAATAATAAAAAAGCATCGTAAGCAAAGATGGATGGTGGCTAGCAGTGGAATACAGGATGCACTTTTCGTCCTATTTGGGACTCGTCAGCTGGATGTACTTGCATCTCAGAGTTGATGTTCACTCAGGGACTCGAACCCAGTAACTTTCGCTTCAAACGCCATCGCGTTATCTACTCGACCACTGAGTCGTGATGGTCACTTGCTTGCGTAATGGAGTGAAGTTGAAATTTACTTGTATTGTTTGTTTGGATCTTCCTACTATCCATCTTTGCTTACCATGCCTTTGAATTTAGGCTATATCGAGGCAATGCGCAAAGTATGCACATATGCCAATTAGAGACTGACCAGTTGCAGTCCTAAAAATATCAATGGGAAGATCCAAACAAACAATACTAAGTAACCGATAGACCACTGAGCTGGCATCCAACGGTGTTAATTTCTAACTTCAACTGATTCACGAAATTGAGCAACCATTCACCAATGTGATCAGTGAGTTCCTATCTCACAACAGACCTGGTTGAACTCCACCGGTTACTGCTTCTCACTAGAACTCCAGGAAATACCTCAAGGACGAAACGGCCGTCCAGTGCTTCCAGGTTTTCCATGGTAGTCTAGCTTCAATTGACTCATGATCTCAACTCTATAAAAATACTAAAATCTCCACAAAACCCCTTCTGATAATAATCAGGTGCTCACTAGTGACTGACTCCTTGAGGTATTTCCTGGAGTTCTAGTGAGAAGCAGTAACCGGTGGAGTTCAACCAGGTCTGTTGTGAGATAGGAACTCACTGATCACATTGGTGAATGGTTGCTCAATTTCGTGAATCAGTTGAAGTTAGAAATTAACACCGTTGGATGCCAGCTCAGTGGTCTATCGGTTAAGGGCTTCGGCTCGAAACTGGTAGGTCCTGGGTTCGAATCCCGCGAGAGTGGGTTCGTGGACGCGCACTGCTGAGGAGCCCCATAATAGGACGAAACGGCCGTCCAGTGCTTCCAGGTTTTCCATGGTAGTCTAGCTTCAATTGACTCATGATCTCAACTCTATAAAAATACTAAAATCTCCACAAAACCCCTTCTGATAATACTAAGTAAATAATAAGAAAGAATTAATCACCAATCAGATATGCAAATAGTGTGAGAAAAATGTCAAATTATAAAATTAAATTAATGCTGACAATCGTGAGAATAGAAGTAAAGATGTTAATTATTAGGATACACATTTACACGAATGTATTTTGTTGTATAGGAAAAGAAACGCTTTATCGCAATTGAGTGATGGACAGAAGTTATGAAAGATAGAATCACGTAATTATTTTCATAAGCTTGTTTGGAAGATTTTAATTAATGATTTCTTTGTTGTGCTTAGTAATTCGAACACGGATAGATCGTATTTTAATATTAGTTGATTTGATGACAATCGTTAGGAAATCTTGAACGTAAATGTTGCGTTATTCAGAGGAAATGGTACTATCTGTGGAATTCTAACCCTAATAACCCAGTATTCCACTCTGAAAGACTATCAGTTGGCCATCAAGCTGGCTAGTATCTCTTAGCGGAAACAGCCAACCAACTCGAAACCTAGGTTCAGTGTATCCTGACAACAGCCCTCCAATTAATTAACATCAAACCATAGTGCCCACCAATCGAGTCATTAAAATTAGCTATTACACTACAACTTGATTTATATAATTCCATCATCAATACAAAATAGATAAGCATGGCATTGGTTATTACTCGGTGATCATTCCGCGCCGCACAACTTGGAAGTTTCCTTGAAATAATATGTATTATAGTGGAAGCTAATCTTGTGCACATTTTATGTTCAACGTCCATTAAACGAAACAATATTAAATCTTTTATGTATTTTATTGTTTATTTATCTGAAGAGTGTTCGAAATTTATTTACTTAATTAATTTACTTCCAAATAGATTCACTCAACTGAAATAATTAGATAATACTAACAAGTATGTTATCATTTTAACCAATCAATTGTCCAGTTGATTAAGAATCATTAACATTAACAATTTGGTTGTGTTCGTATTAGTGAAAAATGTTTATTTCGTACGTTCATGTACGTGTAGGCAAGTGTGGATTTCAGAAGGAGTTTTTTGTGGAGATTTAGTATTTTCATAGTTGAAAACGTCAGTCAATTGAAGTTTTCCCTGGTGGTCTAGCCTCAATTGAATCACGCTTTCAACTATGAAGTGTGGATGTATTTTTTGACTATTGTGGTCAGTTGGTACTGCTTTAATTAAGAGAAAATAACACTTCAGTTAGCTGAATAATTAAATGTTTGATTCAGTATTTGGATATATACACGCATATATTTTTAAACTAGAAATGGAAGATTTTAGAAAATAAATTCAACCGTTTTTTTAATGCTTAGAATGCTTCGATTCTTCATTGTGCTGTTATTTGTAATTCATTTTAACCAACATTAGTGAGACAATAATTTTTGTGGACAACCTTTGAGCGGCGCTAAATTGACCTTCAGAATGTCCACCTACTAACCAGAACTAAACGATGGTTATAAACTAGTATGAGAAATTAGAATTATGATTCACAGTTGATGGTTAGGGTTAGGAATTAGATTTAGAGTTTTCCTCACAAACTGACATCAGATGAATGGATATCCTGCCAAAATTCAAGACCTGTTATCCTAAATCTGATTGATTTGTCTATAAATTATAGTATCGCCCCAACATTTAACAAACAAACAATAACAGAACGAAAATAAATAATCATCTATTATATAATATTTCTTATTCTTTGTTTTTATCCTCTTTGGTTTCTAAATCAACTGTTACTGGGGTTTTTAAAAGATCCTTATAGATTTCAAGATTATCAATGTTATCTATGTCTTTGTCAGAAATTTGTAAAGACGACTTTTTTGAAATTTTAGTAATTGTTTCAGGTGAATTGTATAGATCAAACTCAGTAGTATCAGTTATACTAGGACTAATATTGACAGTAGTAGTTTTTGTTGTCGTTGTTGTTGTTGTTGTGATATTAATAGTAGTACTAGTAGTAGTGAAGTTAGATAGATGAGATAAATCAGTGAAACTACTTATTGAAGTCGCCTGTTCACTACAGTATGAAGGCGAGAAAAATTCAGCTTCTGATGCAAATTTCACATGATTCTGACGTGAATTACGCTTTTCTTCATTATTTTCATGATTGTTATCGTCATCATTACCATTGATCAAGTGATTTTTTGCATCTACAGGATCATATTGAATCTGCAAATTATTAAACGCTTCATTCGATTTTGTTTGTTGTATTATCTTCAGTGAATTGACGGAATTATTATTTGTTGCAATAGTTGAATTGGTGGTAGTATTAGAAACCAATAAAGCATTAAATTGGTTATTTAAAGTATTTTCATAATACTTTGTGTCTCCATTAATCTCGTCTTCTAATTGATGTTTGTGATATGCTTCATTACATTCATTATTAGTGTCATATCTACGAAATAAATAAAGGAAATTATAAAGAATTAATTCAAAAAGAAGAACTCAGTTAAGAAATAATTGGGTCAAGTGTTTCATCCATCAGGTAAGTGATTCATTTACACAACTACACTCGACTATACCGTGCAAATATGAAGATGGTTAAAATGAATGCTTAAGCTGGCTGAAAAAAAAAAGGAATTAACACCACCATGAAGCTAGACATATAACATTTTGTGAACAGCTTCTAATTAAATGAATACGCTAATTAGTATTTTGTATTCTGTTCATGAGTAACTTTATTGGGAACTTCTCACCCAATTCATCAGCTCACATGTTTATAATCCCTATCATCACGTAATAAAGTATCTGAAATACAGGACGATAATCGATCAGAAATTTCAAATCTAAATGGACAAATAGCCAAAACATTTTTACTACAAAGCTGAACGATAAATTTATAGTTGACTGACATCAATTGATTAACTATAATAGATATGGTAATTAATGAATCCAAATGAATCTATAATTAATATCTTATAAAAAGACATCAAAGTAACTGTCAATTAAGGGAAATTGAAATGAAATTTTGTGGAATTATACTTAAAACGACAGTTACAAGTAGTGGACTCTATATGTCATATTGCATGGAATTTGGGTTTTACAATTTAACAGACTCTGAGTGTATCCATCAGTTCACCTGCTCTTGTAAAACAAAGTACACAGTCTGTAGCTAACCTTAACTTTCAGCACATACACCAGAGTACTTTCTAGTTTGATTCTCAAGAGATAAAATTAATATGGTTAAATGTTTGATCTTAGATTAGTCAATTGACCGATCTACTGGTGATAAGTTTACCTATTACATATCTGTTCTCTATATTTAATATTGCTATCAATATCAAGCTGATCATACCTGTAAACTGGCATGAATTCTGTAATTATTATCTTCAGAATATAAATGCATACACATTATTATTACTATACAATTTATCCAGTTCCTCTTGATTCTTCTGATAAACAAGGAGATAAGTTTGAATATTTAAAATGATTTAACTTTACATGTTCAATATTCCCACTTGAAAACTAAACTAAATACCATGAGAGACGTCAATCACGAATGAAGAATGAAACATCAAGTTGATTTTTTTTATTTAAACACATAAATATTGGTACAAACGGGCACCAGATATATATGCGCCACACAGAGCGTCATTTATTTGTGCGAGGGCTGTGACACTATCTGGGTGCCCAGACCGAAGCAAGTGGTTTTCTTAGGGGACCACACCCGAAGCCTTTGAACTAAAGGTCTGATCCATAAGGCAATGGAGCATCGTGAGGAGATGCAGTTCCATGGTGGACGATGACCAACGATTGGTTCATATGCCATTTGTTCCCTTAGGGTACTGATTTCATTTGCACCATTGGTTTAGAATCAGGGTTTCCCAACTCCCCTAGGTGGACTATCCGTGTCCGCCAGCCCAGTTAAAGCGCCGGATATTCGCTTTTCGTCCTCTTACTTTCGTAAACAACACCCCCGCCATTAGAAGGCATTGAGTAGGACTTCCCTGTCAAAGGCTATATATTCGCGTGGCCATGTGAGAGCATTTCGAAAGGGAAAGTGGCCCCTCATCACTCTCGGCCGTACCAGGGCATTTGGGGGCCAAATTGAATACTTAAACAAGTAATCAAAAACATTCATGAAACTATCGGAAACTAAACTGAAAAGAAGTAATAAATTATTAATCACTAAAGAGCATAAAGGGAATGTTCGTACAATATTGTGATCAGTTTTGAATTATATCTTATGGGGTTTTAAATTGCTGGGGTTATTTTCCAAACAAATTGTTGTATCGAGTAGTTGTCCAAGTTCTGATATTTGAGTATAAAGGCCAGTGGTGAGTAGTAAGCTTTAATTAGCTAACCCAAAACGAACTGACTTATAAATAAATGGTTACTCAGAATTTCAAGCCAAACCTTGGCCAATAACATTTACTTGTCATTTGACCTTTCAATGGTGTAATCGGTTGACCCAACTTATCACAAAATCCCGAACCAGATTTAAACTTCTTCACAAAATCCAGACAGTGACTTTCTTATCTAATTTCATTACGTTTAGACTGCTTTATACCAACTTAATATTACTTCAGGAGGAAACCAATGTGTTAGTTAAACAGTTTTGGGACATGTGTAATACAACTATTTGCTTCGGTTAGCAAACGTTTGAGATTTCATCGGCAGACTTAATATTCTTTCATTTAACTCTAGTGTTACCCACTTTATGGTTCCATAATACCTAAAAATAAAAACCTATGTTCATTTAAATTCACTCAGTATTGTTTGTTTGAATCTTCCCATCGACGTGTTAGGACTGCAACTGGTCAGTCTCTAATTGGCATATGTGCATACTGTGCGCATTGCCTCGATATAGCCTTGATTCACAGGCATGATAAGCAAAGATGGATAGTGGCTAACAGTGGAAACCAGAACGCTCGTTTCGTCCTATTTGGGACTCGTCAGCTGGATATACCTGCATCTCAGAGTTGATGTTCACTCTGGGACTCGAACCCAGTACCCTCGCTTCAAGACTCAGTGGCCGAGTGGATAACGCGATGGCGTTTGAAGCGAGGGTACTGGGTTCGAGTCCCAGAGTGAACATCAACTCTGAGATGCAGGTACATCCAGCTGACGAGTTCCCAAATAGGACGAAACGCGCGTCCTGGATTCCATTGCTAGCCACTATTCATCTTTGCCTATGTTCATTTAGTTTTTCCTTTAACCGTTTAACTTATAGGGAAAATAATTGTCATTTTATCTATCACATGCTATTCTATGCAAGTCGACTTTGAAGACAGATGGTCTCTGACTAGACTATAACTGTTTAACATATCAAATTTATGGTTGTCAAAACATTGAAGTGTCTTTTTTTGGTCAACTAAAAATCATTTTCGTAACTTCATTGTGAAAAACAACTGATAACAAGTTATTATGATTTTTCTAAAAAATGTCGGCATACTTATAAGTGTATTTATACGTGTAGGGGACATGTAAAAACGTGATAAGAATTAAACAAATAAACATTTAACAATGAAAAACTACACATTAAAACAATAGAACCATTCACTCATTTAAGTATATATATGTATATATAGAACTACCAGGTCTTAAAAATATCTGCTGAGAAGACAAGTCTATATTAAAAAATCATCATCGGGAGAAAAATTATATTCGTGACGTAAATGAATAGTAGGTCAATGACACTGTTGACTGTAGAAAGTATACCTTGTCGATGTTTGCTTTTGTCTTTCTATTTCAAATAAGAAACAGAAGTGAAATATTCGCACAGCTAATATTTATTTTTAGAATGGATATATGATTAAATAAATCTGACAATTTCTTAAGCATAACATTGGATAACATTAGTTGTGATCCCCTTCTTCTTTGTTTTGAATGATGCTTTGATTATCCTGGATCCATGAGATTCTCATCCTACAAGTGCTTTTCGTGCTTCTCTGGATAGCATTAGAGCAACTCCCTGAGTGTGTGGAGCATTTTTCCCTTCGTGACCGGAGTACAGCAGCATCTCCCCCGCACCTAACCTTTGTTGTCCAGTTTGTATCCAATGGGTTTCGCTGATTCCGAGTACTGCCAATTTGAATCTCCTCATTTCCATTGCTATTTGACTGGTCCTTCCGGTCTCCTACATTGTTCAGACGTTCCGTGCACATATAAAGAGTGTTGTTATGGTTGATAGAAGGAGAATCGGCTTCATTACTTCCGAAAAATCTCAGCTTTCATCATGAGGCGTCATAATTCTTCCTTGAACTGAGAGGGCAGAGTTTAAATCGTTTGAATTACATTTTTTCTGGTTAGCGTTTTTTGTGGCGAGTTAGATTTTCTACTGGATGGGGTCGCTAACCCGATGCCCAACCCTACTCCTTTGTGTGGGCTTGGAACGGGCAGTAACTCTAGAAGAGCTACAGGCAGAGTTTGGGTAATTCTAGAGTGATCTTAAATCCATCAATTTATGTGCCTTGAAAATTGGTTTTCATAGCAGTTGAGTTCGTATAAAGTAATGTCATTATTAGCTATTGTTATCTGAGTGTGTTTGAAAGTACTAATTAGAGGAATATATTTTACAAAGTATAATCTGATTTTAATGCCCTTTGAATTTTTGTTCACAATACCAATGGGATTAATTCAAATTATGATAGAATAAAATGTAATGAACTGTACTAAACTCAAATTTAAAAGTATTTACTTCGCATTTAATATATTCACCGTAATAAAGATGGAACGCAAATAATCCTAGTAAGAGTGAATAAAAACAAAATGAAAGCCACGCCAATAAAATAATAATAATAATAATAAACTAATGGATATATATAACTTGTCCTGAAATAAGAATTTCTATGTTTCAAAACATGCTCTACACATTGAGTGATTACTATACTTTAGATTATAGGATATTATTCTTTAATCTAACTTACTAATAATCATTCAACCGAAATTACTAACATGTTTAGTTTCCAGTTGAAAAATATGTGCTAAATTGTAAGTAAAAATGGATAGCGGTTAGCAGTGGAATCCAGGACGCGCGTTTCGTCCTGTTTCGGACTCATCAGCTGGATGTATCTGCATCTGAGTTGATGTTCACTCTGGGACTCGAACCCAGTACCTTTCGCTTCAAACGCCATTGCGTTATCCACTCGGCCACTGAGACTGATAACCACTTGCTTATGCACATATGCCAATTAGAGACTGACAAGTTGCAGTCCGAAACATCAATGGGAAGATTCAAACAAACAATACTATGTGCTAAATGTTTTCTTTTTTTAACTAACTAAACATCCCATTTGTAATTCTAAATGTTGATTCAAATATTCATCACAGAGAAACTGAGTAATTAGGTGAAAATGAGAGAGATCTTAGTGGTAAGAAAATATCAAACAAAATGAATGAATAAGTAAATAAATGAGTAAATACCACTATCCTTGTTTGTCAATCGAGATGGTT